AGAAAAATAGATGCATTAAGATTTCAGAATTTGTGTTTTGAAAGAAAAGATAAACTAGTGGGGCGCGTGGCATCGTGCCTTAGGGAAAATTGCTGGAACTTCCCGTACCAAAAACTTTTTTTTAAAAGATTAACATTTTTGGAAAAAATTTACTCTGAAAAATTAGATTTTTGAGAAACTATAAATTTTTGACAAAAATTTACTATTTTTTGAAAAAAAGACTTTTTGAAGAAAAGTGTACATATTTTGAAATATTTTGGAAATTCTGAACCTTTTTCAAAGCAATCGTACTGCTTTAACTGCATAGAGACGAAATATCGAATAATACAAGTAAAATGTTTTTTGAATTATTGAAATCGGACGCTCCGTTCTCTTAAAAACTGAGTTACCGTTTTTGGCACTTTTTGCCCCATATCTTCGGAACGGCTAGACCTGCCTTCGGCAAAAACTAATCAGCACGTCTCCTTATCAATACGAATCGAATATTTTTTGAATTATTCAAATCGCTTCATCCGTGTTCCTGAAATCGTCGACGAAAATTTGTATCCGCACACACATACACACACGCACACACACACACATACATCCATTTTTTCTAATGTATGCCAAAATATTCAGAAACCTCTGAAACGTAAAGATATATAAAAATTTTCATTTTCGATTTTTTTGCGATTACTATAACTTACCCTACGGGAAGTTAAAAAATTCAAAAGTTTAATTTGCATTGGTAGATATATACTTCTCAAATTTGATTTTGATGCTATAATTTATATGAATATTCTCAAATATTTTTGAAGTAAAACTTCTTCAGGCGCGACTAGGATGTAAAACTGTGAGAATGCAACGGAAATTGCGTTACTCATGATGAAATAGCCGTCGTTTCGTGTGAATAGAGATCTGTCGTTGTATGCGTACCGGCATCAACATTGTATGCGCCATTTTATGCTTATCTATGGTATGCGTACCGATATCAACAAGGAAATTGGCATAGATAAATGAACATTTTAAAGTTGCATTGTAGTACGAATCTTGATTTAATAAAAAATTCCTGAATCAGAAGAATATTTTACCCTGTTTCCCGTAAATAAATATGTTGAAAATAATAAAATAAATAAAACATTTGTGCCGCGTACTAAACGTAAGTTCATTGAAATAACTTCTGTATTATTCACAGCTTCTATAAATCTTTGAAGTTATTAAAATGGAAAATATTTTAGGCAAGACAGATTTTATAGCTGCTCAAAGAATAAAATTATATCGCCAGCGAAAAAGTAAAATAATACAAGCAGTCAATGAATGTATGCTAATTTTAATTACATGAAGTTCTTCAACACAATTATTACATGATGATGAGTGAAATTGTAAAAACAATATTTCTTTAGGCGTTGTTTTACATAATCCACTGTGTGAACAAATATTATAGAATTTATTAATCAGCAATCACTTCATTTCTCTAATGAAGGTCCAAGTCCTAAATGCTAATTACAATGACAAACCGATCATTTCATATTTGAAGTATGACTTTAATGGACTTTAATTACATTATTATTTTCAAATATTATAAATATTTTTGATGCTATTATAGATATGTAATTTATAATTTATTATTATATAAATGTGTATAATGGTTGAACCTAAAAAATGTGTGCATCACAAGTGTTACCATATTACTAATAAACATTATTTAAAATTGTCATATGATGTATTTATTTTTAACTTAAATACCATCTCGTACAATGGCAAAAAAGTTTTACTTCAATCGCGTGTGAACCTTACGCGCACTCTTTATTTTAACGTATTCTATAAGTTAAGGAACATTCAAATGATGTAAAATAATAGAATTTTTATGAAGCGGACTTGTATCTCACAACATACAGATATTTCAATAACAAATTTTTAAATGTCGGTTTAATCTTATTACCGACTCTCTGTCTAGTTCATTGGAGTTTGCATTGGAAACTACACGACCATGTGACAAGCGAGAGAGAATTTGTGATACGTGAACCATGGACTACTAGAGCCCATGCTTTGCACCAGGTGTTGGAAAAATGAAATGTTTTTTTATATTGTACTTAGGGAGTGGACAGATGAGACAAACCCATTTTATTTTTATGCAGTAGAAATATTTTGTTTTATAATTTTACTAATACATTTTGTACCTTGGGTCGAAAAAGCCAGAAAGAAAATTATCTGGCTTATATTTGTTTTAATAATTATTGCCCCCGGACCCATGTTCTCGATGGCCACTTATATCAGTATATGTAGTTCTTGCATCTATTGATAATGAATTCTTAGTTTTATTTTCATTTAGAACTTTTCAGTAACTCTTGCAAAATAGCATAGGATATTAATGTATTTAACTATTTACTTACATTTATTTTGGTAATATGAATATTTAGAAAATACCTTTCGAATTTATTATGTGGGTTCAAAAGACCTACTGCTTTGTGAATATTATTAGAAAAATTATTTTCATATTTTTAGATAAACAAAATAATAGGTAAATAATATCTATTCACCACTATCGTAAATTTTACCAAACCTTATACTTGTTTCCAAAAATAGGTAGTAGTATTCAATTACCAAAATATTGATTTGCACTGCTTTCAGGAACGTTAAAGGTTTAAAAACCCTGATAATTCGTGAAAGCAAAGTTCCACGCGGAATCATTACTAGGGTTCTTTTATTTATATATTATATATTCCCTATGATGTAACACAAATCTGCTTATTTATTGATTTTCCATATTAAAAGCAAAGAACTCAAATTTTTGCATCACCTTCTAATTTTTATATTTCAACACCTACAGCAGTTCATAATATTTGAAAATAAGAGATAGATATAAAAAATGCGATTATAAAATAAAATATATTTCTCTCAGCGGTACTGTTAGCATTTGTAGACTGGAGTTAATTTTCAAACAAATTAACTATCCGAATGTATGTTTTCACATCAGGTAATTGCATTTTTATTATCGTACTTAATAGAGGTATAAGTAAATGTTTACGAAACCATTAGTCGGTCGTGCTAACGTAAGCACAATTAAAAGTTTTAGAAGCACCCATTGTTAAGCTTGGCGTTTATTATAATTAATTTCAAATATACTCCTCATTCTAGAATTTTTTTTAATATTTCATAACTTATGTATTTTTTAGAGGATAACCAATAAATTGAAGAATTTATAACATATTGTTAATTAAAGATGTAAAAAAAGTTTTGTTGTTTATTACTCATGTATCATAAAGAAATATGTGATTCTGAAATCAATACAACAAGTTTTAGAATAAATCTAGTAAAACTTATCTATTGAATGACTAAGCCAAAATTCTTATCAAACACAAAAAGATTAAAATCAAGATGGAAATGTGATCTTTATAACTTAATTTTACTGTATACATTTTGTGATGTTAAATTTTCATCACTGGAAAACAAATTATTTATAGATATTGAAAAAGTCAAACACAATGAGTACGAAAAATACTTCCCAAAAATGTTTCTAACAAATGCTAAAACCTTAAGGTTATAAAACATTACTATGACCTAGAAATGCAATTACATAAAAAGCACATGTAATAAGCTAATTTTATAAAGCAATGAACACTTTTAATACTTCTTACATAGATAACTGAATCTACTGCATTTTGAAAACAGTTCCTAAAGTTTTGTTGTTTACTCATATTTTACGAAGAAATGTGGGATTCTGAAATCAATACTCTAACCTCAAATTATTTATACGCCCCAAAATTACGAATAAGATAATTCTTGCGCAATTAGTACAAAAACGATTATATTACAATTTTGTGTAAACGTTTAAACGCAATTTTCGAAACAAGTGTTGCAACTTTTTTTAATTGAGTAATTGCGTACTATTTCAATAAAGCGAAAGTAGAGATTTATATAGAAGCATACCGTCGATATCTTATATTTGTCGACATTGTCGATATATCAACATTGTTAAATACTTCTCAGTGAACCACATGTAATACACACAATATTTTAATTTCATGTAATATTAAACACGTAGGTTAGCTTCAACTCCATATTTCTATCCCATTCCATTTCACACACGTCGATATAAATATATAACACATAATCTGGAAAAATCTGAAAAGGGGCCTAAATACATGATTTCGTAAGATATTCTGCACACATATATACACTATTTGGCGCAGTACGATAACAACTTTTATAAATAATCGTTCAGAATTCGAATAATGACGTTGATGCATCGTTAATTTTTGGCTGAAACTAAACTGTCCCCTAGTAACATACATCATGACGAACTGTCGCAACGACCAAGGCAACCATTTTTATATTTGATTTTAAATAAAACGTATTTGTAGATAAATCTGTATCATTCTTACCTGTAATCATCACCTCTCCGCATTGTATTTAATTATTCGTACTACCACATAATAAAATTAAGTGCACATATTCAACAAAAACAATTAAAATCTATATTAAAAACATCGTTCACTATTTCACTTTATAAATTCAACGAACAATGTGTCCACCATTTTGATTCTCCCATTATGATCGTCGTCAACACGAAATGAATAACAAAACCACCGCTAGAGGAGCTAGTATAATTAACGTTGAGGCACCAAATTCAAACTCTTCATTTTCTTAACTGCTGCCTTATTACTTATTATTATATTGTCTAGGACTGCTGCATTATACACACAGCCTTGAGAAAATAATTTATTATTCATGATGAATTATTTAAGCAATTGATTAATATATATACACAATACTTTAATGAATATATAAAATAATTCAAACAAAATGAGCTCAAGCAAAACTAAACTCAGATACTAATTAGAAAAAATACACTCAATAACATTTTGTCAAATTAAAAGTAGAATTGTTTTACAATATTTATCAATACTATTAATATGTAGTTTCAACAAATTAATATAAAATATCAACAAATCTATTTAAAAAAAAATCAATTATATTTAATATTTTAGGAACAGAAAGAATCATAACAATAATGTGTATCTTGGCATGTTAATCAAATGTTCTATGAAAAGCTCTTTCAGTACTACTTCTTAAAGTCTCTTGCATTCGTTCAACTTGTTGCAATTTCGCATTTATTTGAGCTGTACTGGCATCTATCCATTGCAAGGATGACATATGTGCATTCAAAATTCTTCCAACTTGAACAATCTGAAATTATAATCAGAAATATAATTTTTAAAGTTAACCAAACTCAAACATTGTCTAGCAATGGATTGTACTCACAGGATCATTAACATCTTGAGCTTTATTCGATTCATTTAAATGTTCAATAACTTCTTTCAAATCTTCAGCCATTTGTTTTAATTGAGTATCTAAATTTTCTGCTAGTTGATAACTAAAAGTAAAAAATTTCAATATAATTATTAGAATAAAACAAAATATAATAAAGTAATTCTTACTTACCTCTGTTCTCTTTCAGGATCTCTAATGGAAATTTGACTTAATTCCCTTTCTAAAGGTGCTATCATATCTTCTAACTCAATTTGTTGGCTCACAATAAAATCTAATTCATGATCAAGTGCAAACTGATCTAGTTTAATTCTTTCTACATTATCATTCAACATAACAATCTAAAACAAAATGAAAATATATAATGTCTATGACTTTACAAATAACTTTGAACTTAAAGAAAGTGAATTTTACCTTTTCACCATTTTCAATCAGTAATTGATCCCAAGCATTTACTTGTGTAGCTTGGTTCATGAATATTTTCACTTGTTCATCCAAATCTAGAGTCCATTTATTAATATTTTCTTCTAACTGGGAAAAGTTCATTGACGCAATAGGTACAGTGGTATTACCACTCATTCTAAAAAATTATAAATAATGTAAAATGTAAACTAGTACGCATATATAATAATATTTTTTTCGAATATTGATAAATATGTTGATAAAACAGAAAGACAGACATCTATTCAAGATAGTAAATAGAAAGAAAACTTAAATATTAGATATGTTTCTTAAAATAAATTTAATAGATTCATACGTTTCAAACAAAACTTGCATGGTTTGCTTCCACTGAAAAAAATTTAAACTATAACTCAAAATGTATGGATCTATTCAATTTATTTTAACAAAGACATTTTAGTTCTGTTTCTATTTATTTATTACCTTGAATGGATTCCATCAACATTTACAAAAAAAACTTGTTTTTTATTTATTTAATTTAATTGTTCGGGAAAGAGACCCTTATCAATTTATTAAAAAATCCAGGAAATATCAAATATATATATGTATATAAAAAAAAAATCACTCTAAAATAGATCATGCATAAGTGAAATTCTAAAGACAAAAACTCACACAGTGGTTGTTAAAGCTCCAGATGCTTTTGAAGATACTGGTGTAGTTCCAAACCCTGCAAGGCTTGTAGCAACTGTAGTAGAGGAAGTACTTGCAGGTAAAGAAAACCCAGTGGCAAAAGTACTAGTTGTTGTTGTTTTTGCTACGTTAAGAGAAGTTGACAGATTTAGACCAGTTCCAACAGTAAAACCAGTACCAGCTACCGTGGTTGTAGTTGTTGTAGCTGAACATGTTGCCGGGGTAGATGAGACTGCTCCAAATGCTATAAAATATTGAAAATGTAAAGAATTCCAAATTAGCATCCACACAAGATGATGTATTATAATCACATATAATTCTAAGAAAGAATTTCTTCATAAAGAAATTAAAAAACTTATTCATTATAAACAAATAAAATTAACCATAATTTAAATAAAAAAAAACTAAACTAACTAAAATTTAATCCAGTTTTCTATATAACATATAGAAATATAATACATAAAAAGTAGTTCAAATATTATTTTACCTTAAAAATAACATATTCAAAATTTTATTAAATTGAAATTTTAAAACTTAAATTTAAAATTTTGTATAATGTATTAATAATGAAAATGCACAAGATTTGAACATAGCTATTAGTGTAAGTTCTCAAATAAGTATTTGAATACGCATTCATAAATATTGTATTAAGTATTAAGTTCATAATATTTAAAAATAAAAGAGACTAAAGAGCATCTTTATGGTAAAATTATAATGTTTTTGTTGTTTGTATATCAAATCAAATGTGTAACAATTGAGCAACATTCTTAAAATGATTTGCATATATAGAAAAATATCAGCAAATAAAAAAAATTATTTAGAATTAATGCACGTCTGTAAATATTTATTACTTGGCAGAGCTGTTGTAGAAGCAGTTGTTGTTGTTGATAACCCAAATGACAACGTAGAAGCTGTTGTTTTAGCTGTATTGCCAAAACTAAAACTGGGTGTTGTAGCTGCTGATGCTGCTGGTGCTGCAGTTGTAGTTTTTGCCCCAAATCCAAAATTTAAACCTATTATAAATTAATAATACAAAATAATTTCCAGTTTAGTTTTCAACATACTATAAAATATTAAGACAAATATTTTGTTGACAAAAAATATTAAATTACCATTCAAATCTAAGTCAGTAATAAATAGCGGCTATTTATTTACCTGTCCCGGTTGTTCCTGCACTTGTTGTCGTGGTGGGTGCTAATCCAAAACTTGTTGTATTTGAACCGAAACCAGAGGAAGCTGTACTAGCAGTATTTGATAATAAACCAAACCCTAAGAAAAAATAAAAATGGTATGTAACAAAGGTATGTAACTTCTTGCATAATTTAGCTCTAGTATACAAAGGCTATGTACCTGTAGTTGGTTGAGTAGTAGTAGTTGCTTGAGGAGTCGTTCCGAATGACAAAGTTGGAGCTGTTGTTTTGGCTGCTCCAAAACTAAAACCTGCAATCAAATAAAATAAATAAATAGACTGTAACGGTAATAACAAATTTTATTGGATCATCAAAACAAACCTTGAGCTGGTTGTTGCTGAGTTGTATTAGTTGGGAATCCAAATGCCGGAGTTGCAGTTGTAGATCCAGCATTTCCTGTGTAAGTTTAACCAAAAAAATAAATTCATTACCTTGAATTAAGAACTAAATTTGTCGGCATCAATTTGAAAACAAGAAAAATAGTATTGCTTTGACATTTCGGTTCTACAACTTTTATTGCCAAAATAATGTAATACAGGATTAATAATCAATATATAATTAGTAGTCTAAATTTACCAACTTAAATAATTAAATGATCAAATTGGAGTGATTTGATAACTAACCTGGAGCTGACTGTTGGGCTGGATTTGCCGAAAATCCAAAAGTGGGAGCAGGTGCACTAGATGTTCCTAAATATTAAAAAAAATCCAAAATAAATAAATCCTTATTTAGTTAATAATGTAAGTTAAACATTACCGAAAGAGAAAGAAGGAGCAGCACCACTAGCCTGAGTTGTCTGTGTACCAAATAAATTTTTTGCTGAAATATTAAAATCATAATATTTAAAAAAGAGGTTGACTATAACTTAAAGAAACATAATAAGTAAAACAGTATTACGTGCTACAGTGTTTGAGCCTGTGTTTCCAGCATCCCCAGCCCCTATAAAAACGATATATTAAATTAATAATTAGTTGCTTTATATATTAATAATGTGAAATTACCTTTAGGGGTATTTGTTACACCAAAACTGAAATTCATGTTTAAAACGGACGCAATTATTACATGAAATCATAACATAACCTAATATTCGCGCGTCAAATTTAGACAAATAAAAATATACCTTCATACGACAATAGTGCCATCTCAAGAATAATTATCAGGGCAAAACTGAAACATTAAAAAAATTAAACTAAAGCGTTACTTTGATTTCGAAAAATCTATATTTGTTTCACATTAAAATAAGTAAGTAAAGATAAAAAATAAATTTACAATATTTTTCAATTTTTTCCTGAAAATAAACATTTGGTTTTCAGATCATGTTTTTGTTTTCGTCTGTTTTTTATATGATTATCATCATAGCTAAAAGAAGTGTTATTTGATTGATAAAAAAAAGATTATCATAATATTTGAGTGTTTAAATTTGTAAAAGTAATGTTTTACAGAATTTTTTATTGCCTCTTCAAAGCTAATTAGTACATCAAAAATCATTTGTAGACAATACATTTCATTGATATAAAAATATCTATAAATAACAAAATATCAACCTCAAAAGTTTTATATATGCACAATATAAATTCATTTACTTGCAAATAAAGTATTTAAAAAATGCATATTTTACATAAACAATTTATACAGGTTGCGGATTATTTTGCCTAATAATTTCTTTCACTGTATCTAAATTTCCTAACTGCAATTCTATATATAAATCTAACATAGATACAAATACATTTCTTTCATCATTTTTTAATTGCTGCAATAACATTTTAGCTTTGGTAAAATCACCACGTATAGCTAATGTAACAGCTAAATTATATGTTGTTATCTGCTTAGCCATTTGCACATTTTTGATCTCCCAAACCGTAGGCGGTGTTGTTTTCGAATTGTTATCATTTGAATAAATTGTTGAAATGCCATTAATAGAATCAGGATCTAAATGATGAACTGCTTCTGATATTTTGTTCATCAACACTAAGGCCTCAGCACAGTATAAATGTCCAAGCATTCTGAAATAAACATAAAACTATAATTTTTGTTTAATAACTTAATGAACTGGAATAAATTCATACTTATGGGCCTCATTAACTTGAGATTGTGTGAGTAAAGTTTGTGCATGTTCTAAAGCTAATGAGCAATCTCCGATGCATAAACAAACAAAAGCACTTGCCGCCAAAGCTGAGTTGCGCAATGATGATAATTCTCGAAGAGGTATTCCATATCCCAACTATTTAAACATGGGATAAAAATAAATATTATTATTATAATAATTTAATAAACAATGTCATACTTTTACCTCAGTTTGTTCAGTAACAAGTTCTTCTTTTGGAAGCAAATTTAGTACAATTTTTAAACAAAGTAGTGCAAATTCTAAACTGGGACTCGGTATTGCATATGATGATTGGCTGTCATCACTATAAAAATAACAAAAATAATTAAAAAAAAATAACACTATTATTAATTATCATATAAACATACCATGTGTATTTCAGAGGAGTGATATTATTTAAAATTAATTTTTTATGTGCATTTTTTCCAATTACTTCGTGCACAATGGGTGTTTTATTTTCTGCTTTCATTTGCTAAATATTAGAATCACATTTAGAATATAATAAAAATAATAAAATATTAATAAAAAATTACAATAAACTATGTAAATTGAATTTAAAACTAGAATAGAAGTATTACCTGATGAACCATTATGCAGCACTCTGCAATTCTTAACCACAGTTTTGGATTATTATGCTGATAATGTAAAGGTTCCAATAAACATTCAAATGCATCACGCGGTCTACCACTGAAAAGTAAAGATACTCCAAGGTTGTATAATATTGAATAACGATGCATAGATGATGCTATTTGAAGTAAAGGTTTTTTATCCAAAGCTTCAGATGAATCTGCTACGAACAAAATCAATTTACTAATATCAGGTATGTATAGATAGTTTCAATTTTTTTAAAATGTAGGGATATATATTTTTTATTTTATAACAACAAAATAAATGGATAAAATCAAGAATTATTACATATCAAAATATATATTGAAAAAAATTACCTTCTCGAGTATTTTTTATGTTTTTTACCAGTTGAATATCTCTACTTAATGACTGTTGAAGTGAATGAGTTGCTAGATGAAAGTGACCAAGAGAAAATTCAATAACTCCAATGTTATTAAGAGCTAATATGGCAAGATTTTCATTGTTGGATCTATAAATCATAATTCTATTAAATAAATTTTGTAATATGTATATATATATATATATATATATTATTTACCCTTTTAATATACTAGTTCCATTAGCAAAATATGCATCTTTGCTTGGAGATCTAATAAACTTAATAAGTTCTTCATGAGATTTGTTATTGCCTTGCAAATATAATAAGCGAGATTGAAGAAACAAATTTTCTAAGTTCTTGAATTCAAAAATAAATTCATAAGCTTTAATAAATGAATCATTTATAAAATAATAATACCATTAACATACCTTGTCATCTGATATTGTTAGATCATGAACTAATTGCATAGAAAATAATGCTCTTTTACGATAGTAATCTAATCTTTTTTGAAAAATCTCTATTTTTATATTGAATTTCTCCTGAAATAGTAGATTTTTATATGAACTAGTTATTTGAACAACAACAACTTTACAACTATTTATTTACCAACACTTCACCATACATTTCCGATGATACTTGCAGTCTAGCTTCCATGCAATCAATTAGTTCTAGAGCATCTTTAGCCCTATGTGCATTTAATAATAATTCACATAATAACAATACCGATTTCTCAACCAAACTCTCTTCTGTTTATTGATTTATAATTGGAATTAAGTTTATATTAAATTTTGAATGCCTAATTATATTCATAATTTTATATACCTAATTGGTCCAAATGTGGCTGCACTTTTAATAACAACTTTAGAGCACTATTCGGCTTACATGAATGATATAATATAACAGCTAGATTATAAAATAAAGGGCACTTATCTACAGCCTTCAAGCCTTCATAATTAGTAATCTAAAAATTAATTGAATATCTAGATTAGTTTTCTGTACTATGAAAATAGACAGATAATTTTTGAATACTCTTACTTGGCTATTTAGAAATTGAAGTGCTTTTCTCAACTCATCAACGTTTTGGCAATTACTTTCATAAAAATCAGTTACAGCTTTGTTGTGTAATAATTTAAAATTATTATTGAGAGATCGTTCAAGCTTTTCCAATTGCTGATTACAAGCATTATAGTTTTTCCTATAGATTGTAAATATATTCATATAAGAGAACAGGTGTTGAATTTTTCTGGGGGTATAAGATTTAGCACAAACCTATTGAATTCAAACAAGGCTGTTAGGGCAATATCTCTTTCTTGATCTGAGACCTCTACATCATCAATATCTGTTATTTCATTAGTTACATCAATCATTTTTAATATTTGTAAAATGTAAAAAATAATTGTATTTCAAGTAATTTTCAAAGTAAATTTCAAGTTGCGAATATATTTATGTAAATAATTTTAAGCTACATAGATTTCAATACAATTTAAAATATTTATTAATCAATAATTTTAATGAAGACAATTAATTTATTTATTATAATGAATTTAGTATAAAATTTTGGTGACATTGTTTAGATTTGACAGACTTGAAAAATTTTGACAGTCGTTTATTTTCTCAGTTGGCAAGCGTTGAATAATTCAACTGTTGGTTGGTTGGTATTACCAACGATATGAACTTGATAAGATAAACACGATTAGAAATAAATTATTTATGTTCGCAATTATTCGTATTTATTGCGTATATGATATTAAATTTGAATTATACTTTTATTAAAATATTTCGAATAGCTTTATTATGCCCAACTTATTTAGCTCTAAATAAAACTATTGTTGGTTTAATTATTCAAAAGCAAGTTTTTTCTATGCAAATTTCTTCTGAAATAAAATACATAGAGCTTTAATTGTAAATATAAATGAAGTATTCACTAAAATTAAAAAAGTGTAAAGATAAAAGCATTAGTAATAAAAAGTGAGCCCAATTGAACTTTGTTCAAAGCGTGTGTAATCTGACAGTTCTATGATAAATGACAGTGACAGATAGAGTTTTTAGTGATGATATTTAATAATGACGAAGTAAATTAGTTACCTTGTGTTTGGTTGCGTCAACGAACGTTCAAGTAGACAAATTAAAATCCTCAAGTCTTGAGATTTAATGTCAGTAAATATTTCTATTAAATCTGGTGTGTTATTGCTCTGTTGTAACAAACTGTCACTTTGTGTTTATGGTACTAATCAAATATTAAGTAATTTAAACTAAATTGCGTGTTAAATGGCAGATAATGAATTGGCAATATCAAAACCAAGGTATGATTTATAATTGATATCTATTTTTTTTCAAAATTTGATTACTTTACCTTGTGGTGCTTTAGATTAAATTCACACTGCATATTCTGAGACAAAAGTATTCCTTAAAACTTTACATTTTAATGCACTTTGTTATAGTAAGTTAAATAAAACTATACACAATATGAATATAATTATTGCAAATTTAAGTATTTCTATATAAGTATATAAGATTTGTTAGCAGAGATGATAATAAACTATATACAATTCTCTACAATATTAGAAATTGATAGAAAAATAGTTATCCTGGACACTAAATGCATGTTTTTTTATGAAAGTTTTTCATTTACAACTAATTGGTTAATACTAAAATTATATGAATAAATTCTTGGTGGACATAGTGCCAAATAATAAAGGTAAAGGTAATTTAAAACATCTTATAAAAAAGATTAAAGGTAAAGATTTTAAAACAACAACTATATTATAGATGTTCTAAAATTTAAAATTCTCTTTTTCACCTGATGTTTTCACTCTCCAAGATTTTTTATTCATTTATTTTAAAATTGATCTTGAATAATATCAAATAAACCATCCTTAACCATCCTATATGTTTTGAGAATGATTCATTTGATATTAAAATATGCATATATATATATATATATATATATACATATATATATATATATATATGTAATTAGCAGCCTAATCATCTAAAATAAAGAACAATTTATTTCTATAAACAATATTTATTCTGGAAGGTGTGAATTTTATCATGATCAACTGCGTATTTCACGAAAAAAAATATTTAAGATATAAATTAGTTTGTACTTCTAATAAACATCTAAATTAGTTTTTTTAGCAATGTTTAGATACATAGTAATTTGTGTTTTTGTTCTTTCAAGGCCAATATTACAGGTTTTTGATATGTAACAAGCATGACATGCACAAGTAATTGACCTGCGATTTTATAACATCATAAATGTTCGAATATTCTAGTATAACGAAAAAAATGTGTATGACTTGCCATATAATAATTTAATAACCATGTATTCATATTTTTATCATAACATATAATAATAGTAATTATAATTACTATGAGCAATATTTAAAAAAAAATGGAAAAGTATTATCGCGTCTCGCAATAAATTTTAAAGTATTAAAACGGTTTTGTGAGATTAGATTTAGTTTTCTCATGTACAAAAATATTTAATTACTAAAGTAGTAATTTATCCCCGATATTTTTAGAAGCAATATTTGTTCCAGATTCAAGTTTCTTTGCCCGGGATTAATTTTTTTAAAAAAAGTTATTATTCTCAGTATATCCTTAGAGTGATTTTTACAAAATTTGAACACAAAAACTGCTCTAAAAGCGATATATTGAATATATTTACTTCAATATATACTATTTACTAAAGTTCATCATAAAAAACCGAAACAAATCTACTAAAAAGTCTACATTCAAGACAATTTCATCAGAAAAACTATCTGTAAGTGGAATTCTGTCTTAAGGCAATTAGGGCATCGTGCCTTAAGGCAAATTGCTGGAACTTCCCGTACCAAAAATTATTATTTTTTTTAAAAACGATTAACATTTTTGAAAAAAATTTACTTCGAAAAAATAAGATTTTTGAGAAACTATAAATTGGACAAAAAATTACTTTTTTTTGAAAAAAAAAAGGTTTTTTTTTTATTTTGACATATTTTGGAAGATCTGAACTTTTTTTCAAAGCAATCGTACTGCTTTAACTGCTAGAGAAGAAATGTCAAAGCGCGTAAGCGCCGCGTCGCTGTCTAACGGATAAACATGTACGGAACCCATAAGAATGTAAACAAAATTTATACTTATTGTAAAAATCTCTATAAAATATCTGATAATTTGATGTGCATATGTTTAATGATCATTTTTGACCGCCAAATGGCATTTTTTTAAACTTTTTTGATTAGATTGGAAACCGCTAGACCTGCCTTCATGAAAATTTAATTCATTCTTCATCTTGTTAATACAAGTAAAATGTTTTTAGAATTATGAAATTCGGACGCTCCGTTCTCATAAAAACCGAAAATTCGTATCCGCACACACACATCATCCATACACACACACACACACACGTACACACATACATCCATTTTTTCTAGGGATGCCAAAATATTCAGAAATCTTTGAAACGTAGATATATAAAAATTTTCATTTTCGATTTTTTTGCGATTACTATAACTTGCCCTAGGGAAGTTAATAAGTATAAATGTTATAAAGTTTTGCAGTATCAGTAAGGATTAAAAAAAATTGCTCAACTTAAAAAAAAAAAATACGTATGCATTCATACAATTTGTTATATATATTATATACAGAGCCGGTCCTGGGGCCCTCAGCGCCCCTCCTCTATTAGTTTGACTGCTTAAACAGTTTATCATTAAAATTTTATAACCATTTACGTTACTTTTTTTAAATATTTTTTTAATAATTCTGCATTTACTATTCAAAATGTAAGATATAATCTAAAAATCAAATGCTCACAATCAAATTGTTGTGTCTTCTATCGTTGTCGCAATAATGAACTATTTTCTTATTTTCAGTATCTTCATTATTGCTTGCAAGAATATTTTTAAATATTCAATTATTTCTAACACATGTACATATTATTCGTATAATATTAATATTTGGGTTTTGAAATAGTTTACTCATTTATTTTGGAGATTTTATGCGAATTAATCTATTGAGCAAATCATAGAGGGCAACAAATTCTAGCCTTTTGTTTTTTTAACATAACACTGGTACTTCATGTTGGATTATTCAATTTAATTTTTCATTGCTTGAAATCTCCAAAATTGCTTCGTAAACTTCTCCTAATTGATTTCGTAAGGTCCGAATTTATCTTTACTTTCCCATCGTGTATCAGAAGTTAGAATTTTTAACGAATTTTATAAATATTGTACAGAGATTAGTATAAGATGCAAAGAAATTATATACTTCTCGAATGATATTGAAAAAATATTACTAATTTCATATCCGAACCTTGTGTTTTTCGCTTGCAAAAAAAGTCGCATAGGCACATATGATTTTTGTACACTAGGGGTCAAAATAAGATACTTTGCCGAAGAAACCATATCTCTAAAATGAAATCTGATGTCCCGTGCATTCACCCAAAGATTGGGTCAAATTTTAAAAATCCTTGTTTTGGCTTATTTAGAGCGCCCCAGTAGTGTCCAAATGTAAGACCGACCCCCAGTAACTTTGGGACCTCCCTTTAGAGGCCCCGCATTCCAAAGTTGCATCATTGTGGGTACTTCAACATGACAAAAATCAGCGATTTTTTTATTATAAAATTTATTTAATCATAACATATATAAATAAAACTATGTAAAACTTATAAATTATTGCTTAAAGTCTTTTTTGGTTTTTGGCAAGGCTGAAAAATTAAGACCTCTAAGGGGAGGTCCCAGGTGGTGAATCGGCCTTCCAAAGTTAGTTTGGATTTGTCAAACATTCGGACGCGATTGGAGGTCTCTAAATGGGTTAAAACGGAATTTGTCAAAATTCTCAACCCCTAACTTTGGATCAATGCACTGGACATCAGAATTCATTTTAGAGACATCGTTTTTTTAGCAAAGTATCTTATTTTGATTTCTAGTATCCGAAAATCATATGTGCAGAAGCGACTTTTAAATCGGCCAACCCTAATATATATGTATCGAGTTATAAAAATAAATATAAAGTTATTTGACTTATTACACGCCCACCCTCTTAAAGTTTTTGTCCATGATTTAAAGTTAAAAAAACTTGGTCACCTTAATATTACGCTAAATTGTATACATTAATATTTTTCTTATACATTAATTTTTACGTATACATTAATATTTTTATGTATGTAGCGAAAGTTATTAGGAATTTGAGGAAATGCTAATTTATTGTGATTAAGTATAACTAATTTTAGAATATAATAACGAATTTCTTATTTCTTATATTATTTTACATTAATGCAAACACATTAATTGATAAAATTCTACAGCTGGTTTTGGAGTTGGATGAATTGGACCCACTCTTCAATCAGCATGCTGAGGACAGCAGAGAAAACGATTTTATCGTGTAAGAATGTTTCTCTTTGCATATTGAATATGACTAATTTTTATTTTTACTTCAATCCAAAAAAATCTAATCATAATCTTTGTAGGTTTAAAAATTCCATACCGTGGTTGGTACGTTGATATAGGTCCGGTTGTGGGAGCGGCGGATAAAATATGGACAATTTCGTTGAACGAAGAAAGTACCAAATCCCCCTTGGTTTTGCTCCATGGATTAGGCGCTGGGGTAGCATTGTGGTGTCTTAATTTGGATGCTTTAGCAAAATCGAGGCCTGTGTACGCCATCGATGTTTTAGGTAATAAATATTGTTTTTTTGATTAAATTAATCGACGTGTTGCTATACGATATATAACATGAAAAATATGGCATTACTTTCAGTATATAATTTCTTTGATTTCGATTTTTATTGAGGCAGGTTTTGGCAGGAGTTCTCGTCCTGGATTTAGTAGTGATGCGCAGGAAGCAGAAAGGCAACTAGTTCAATCCGTAGAAGAGTGGAGAAGAGAAATGAATTTGGATTCAATGATAATATTGGGACATAGTATGGGAGGATTTTTGGCAGCTTCCTATGCTATTCGATATCCTGATAGAGTCAAACATTTGATACTGGCAGATCCATGGGGATTTCCCGAAAAACCGCAGGTAAAGAAAGTTTATCAACACTAATTCAAAGTGCTAGTTTAATCATTACTAATTATTTATATTATTATGAATATTTTTGCAACAATTTTCAAACGAACTTATTAACTTCAAGAAGGGTTAGTTGTTGTAATCGCAAAAAATCGCTAAAGCTAGTTCTAAGTGCTCGTTTAATCATTACTAATTATTTATATTATTATGAATATTTTTGCAACAATTTTCAAACGAACTTATTAACTTCAAGAAGGGTTAGTTGTAGTAATCGCAAAAAGCGGTTTCGGAGATCTAGTAAAAAAAAAAGTAAAAAAATGCCACGGTCAAAAATGATCATTAGACATATGCACCTCATATTATCAGATATTTAGAGATTTTTATTATTTATGGGGCACAACTAGTGTAACCGCCTAAAAAAAAGTTGATTTTTGGGAATTTATTTCAAAAAAACTACTTTATCAATCATTTCAAAATTTTAGGAATATATTCACACATGTTTTGAGAATACTTAGTAAATTTTTTGAAGAAAAAAAATTAATATTTTTTATGTTATCGTCGATCTCGAACGGCGCGACAAAAAAAGGCCCTTAACTGCTGCAGTGATTCCGGCCTACTACGTGGATGAAATAAAAAAAAAATCTCGTTAAATTAGATAATATTGTCTGTAAAATGAACTACGATAAAAAAATAAATTAAACATTAACAAAATGGCGGCTTTTAAAAAAAAAGACGAATTTTACCCAAAATTTTGGTCGTTTTTCGACTGCCCAAATTCGATTTTTGATCCGATCAAAAAATCGATAGTTCATTTTGCAGAGAACTATATATAGAACATGTAAAAAAACTGATAGTGATCGGATCATTTGTTTTTGAGTAATCGCTGCAACAAATTCGGAAAATGCGGTTTTGCGATAAACGCGTTTGTAGATAAAATTTTGAAGTTATTTTGCAATCTACCGAAATATGAAAAAAAACAAAAAACGATTTTTTCGAAATTTCACACTAGTTGTTGCCCCTTAAATGTTCCTTAACATAGTTTGGCAGTTAGAGGTCGACGCGGCGCTTACGCGCTTCAATATTTCGTCTCGATGCAGCTAAAGCCGTGCGATTACTTTGAAAAAAGTTCATAACTCCCTAAATATTTCAAAATAAAATATTTTTTTCCAAAAGTCAAAAAAAATTAATTTTTGAAAAAAAAAAATTGGTACGGGAAGTTCCAGCAATTTGTCGTTTATTTAGATTTAGAATCAAATTTGTTTTACCAATATAATTATAATGTTAATATAATTATGGAATATGTGTGACATATAGGGAGAATAGCTACAGTTTATATGAATATGATCTGACATCAAAACTGGACCTGTCTTGTGGCACAACACACATACAACTAACACTAACATATCCCAGGGTTGTAACTCTCGTCTCAGAAGGTTGTAACTAATTAATTGATCTAGATCTCCAGAGAATTTTTCTGGTAGACCCCAAGAACCTATAAATAGTTAAGGGTAGGGATGGTGTACTCTGGAGTTGATGACCATCAGGCGATAATAATAATCAATAAGACGATAATATTGATTATCGTCACAATATACATAATGTTAATGTTATGTTAAAAAAAAAATTATGTTTGGCAGTTGGATGTCAAATTGAACTGAAAGCGTATTTACTCTTATTTATCTAATAATAGTGTCCAATATTCGTTTATTAACTGTCAAAAATGCTTTCTATTAAAAGGACGTTGCTGCAAAATACAACTTGCCATTTTGGGTCAGAGCTGTTGCATTTGCCGTGCAGCCGTTTAATCCTTTATGGGCAGTTCGCGTGGCTGGACCATTTGGTCAATGGGTGATCGAAAAAGCGAGACCAGATATTGTTCGTAAATATGCAGATCTGGTACCCGACTACGAACGGGTTATTCCGCAGTACATACATCAATGTAATTCGCAGACACCATCGTAAGTAAATAATGTACTTAATGGAGGAACTATATTTCATTACCATTATGCAACATTCTTTTCTATGAGAAGAGCTTTATATTCGCATACTTTTAAAATTTCTTAATTATACACAATTAATGATAAGAAGTGATTTCTTCTTATTCAATACTGTAAAAATGATGTGTAAACAATTTCTGATAAGTTACAAGAATTCAAAAAAAAAAAAAAAACATGATAAAAGTACTGTCATGATGAATTACATTCGATTCTGTAAACTGGTGCATGAAACGAAGTAAAATAGAAACTTAAGATATAACTATAGTTATATTTTTGGTTCCTGCTTTATCTGTCATTCCATTCAAACTATTCAATTTACTATGAATGATTAATAGATTAAAAAAAATTGAAAATCTAAATGGTTTGTAGATCATTTTGTATTTTACTTTATTTTTGTTTGTTAGAGGTGAAAGTGCTTTTCATGCTATGATGACCGGATTTGGTTGGGCCAAATTTCCGATTGTCAGACGCTTAGACCAGCTTAGAGATGATATTCCAATAACTTTGATCTATGGATCAAGATCATGGGTGGATAATAGTGCTGGTGAAACTATTAAACAGCACAGAACAAAAAGCTATGTTAATGTACAGGTGAGAAATACTATAAAATAGTATAGTATTTAGTTATAGTTACTAACTGGATTAAATGATTTCTTTTATTAAAAATTAATTTCAGGTTATAACAGGTGCTGGTCATCATGTATATGCTGATAAAGCACAAGTTTTTAATAAGCATGTCAATGATGCTTGTTCTAAAGCCGATAATGATAGGTAAATAATAATTATATATGAATATACATATGTTATTCATGATATTTAATATTTAATTTATAATGTAGAAATGAATCTGCAGAATTAAAAGCAATACTTGGGCCTGATGACAGTACTAAATAACTGATAAAATAAAAGGTCGCGTGTAATATTTTTAGAAAAATTTTATATTTATATTGTGTGTGACAGTGATGTATATATATAAATTTTATTTCATTTATTTTATGCAGGTGCAAAAAGCAAAAACCAAAAAATAGTACTTTTTTAGCTATATTGCAAAAATGATTCATTATAACCTGCAATAATGATTATAGCTATGCACTTGAAACAAATTATGAGAAAATAGAAAGAAATCAGTGGAATTTCTTCTATACAAATGTATTATTTTATGAAAATGAGGTAAAATAATTAAATTGATATTATGGTATACCAATTTTGTGATAAAATCCAGCAGTAAAATTGCAAATTAATTAATAAAATAGAGACCTAATCCATATATTTTTTTATGAACGAAATGGTAGTAACTATTTGAAATGAGTGGGAAGTTTTAAAACTATCATGCTCTATCTACTTGAATTAGTCGAAATGCTTTTTGATGATTTTAATGAATTATCTTATCCATATCAATACAAGATCAAATATTTAAAAAAAATTTAAATAAGTGAATAGTTTTATCATTATTTAATTTATAAACTAATTTAAATTAGATAAATGATATATTAAAATGTTACCATATTGTAATTAGGTATTTAATAAATAAGTCTATACATTTGTTTCTTATACAAATGTAATAGAGTATTCAATATACATTATATGAGAAATAAAAACTATGAAGATAGAAAGTGCTGCAAATAATGTTAAAGCCTGTGATAATAATGAATATTTTATTTTTACAACCCAACTCCGGTAAATAATTTCAATTTGGAAAACCAATATAAAAAAAATCAATAATCATTTTTATTTTACTGTAGGCAAAGAAAAGTTGGTGTATATTAAAATATCACAAATCGACATACCTCATTGAAAACTTATGTTCAAATTATCCTAGTTTATTTAATTTTAATTTATCTTCGTATTAAATATTCACTGCTGTGTGTATATTGAAATGACAAGTATTATGTATGTATTAAATGAATAAATTATAGTGAATGCACAACTATAATGTTTAATATAATATGAATGAAAAAATAATGGAATAATGCAAACATGTAAATTTCTAATTCCAATAATAATAAATAAAATATGAAAGTAATAAAACGATGTTAAATAATTCAGTTTAAAAGAGAAATATATTAGTATTTAACTCAACATTTTAAAGCAGATCTGATTTATAACAGTTATCATTTGAATATCATATAACATTTAACAAATATAACATCAGTACATACATGGATTGTCATTTTGAGCATCAACAAGACTTTTGGTTCATTTTTGTTTTATTCCTTTTTTACTTTGGCACAGGTATGAGTTGAGTCTTTGAATCTGTTGTAACAACTTGAATTAAACTTCCAGAAACCGGCCTATCTGATCCTTTTGTCCACTTCACAAATAAGCTGAAAAAATATTATGAAATTAAATTGGTAAAATATGGTGAAAATAAAAGGTTAAAAATCATATGACAACTATATAATTATCTAAAACAATATTTTATACTATTGTGGCCCCAATAGTATTTTATACTATTGTGGCCTTCAGAAAATAAAAATACTTCATAATTATTAAACTTCAAATTCATAAAAAATATTTCAAACCTACACTTTAAGAAAATACTTATTACAATATAATAGAATAAATAATAAATGAAATATACTGACTCTGCTAAATATTCCAAAGGTGTCCAGGTTGAAGTATCTGCCTTAGGCATCCATTTTCTATTCATTGGTGTATCTAACATAACAGGCAAAATGGCAACAGCAGCGCTTTCCTTGGGCAAACCACTGTTTTCTCCTCCCAGAGATCTTGTTAGTTGATGAACCGCTGCTTTTGCCATACCATAACCGATCATACCTGTGCAAAGTAAGTGTTAAATAAAAGTATCATAGTGCATCATATTATAAAGTCACGATCTTCATTTGAATCTTGTTCAATAATTTATTAAAAGCTTAGTAATATTTTTTTTGTCTTCTGTATGTCAAATATTAATACAATTGCAAATACTACATCATCTTTATTCATCAGTCAACAAATTGGCAATGTTCCATAATCCAAATGTATCAAATCTTATATAAACTTGATAACTCATAAGAGTTATGATATAATTATATCAATTATTGACATAAATAATAATCTGCAAAATTTATAGCTCAGTTAGCATTGGTTTTCTCTGCACTTTAAATGCTGAAAATTCTTTATAAAGAGTCTTTATAAAGATATACCTAATACTTTTGGATCATTTATATTATTTGAAGTTATTATTTGAATATATGATGCATCATGATGATGATATCTTCAAAGCAAAAATGTACTGTGTCTCATTCATTTATCTACAAACCAGGTGTTCCTTCCAGAGCAGCCTTAGCACCCGTTAACGTTAGCAAGCCACCTTCCTTAAGATGTTTTGCTGCAATTGCTGATGCGATTAATGAACTCCAAACACTCTGACGCCACATCAGATCAGAAGATGAAGTCAAATCTAAAAAGTATGTTGGAGATAAACCATGAAACTTTGTTACATGTGATATTATTATTACTGTTATTGACATTAATTATTATTATTTACCTTTACCAGCGTTTCCACCAGCCCATCCACCGGCTACACAAATGATGGCGTCCAATTTTTGACCAGCTAATAAGCTTTCCAAAGTTGTTAGAACATTTGTTTCTTGTTTTCCAAGATCTAAATCTTTATCGATCAATATATTTGCGTCTGCCTGCTCATTCTCTTTTCATGTCAATACTTCCGACCCACTAAAATTGAATGTTAAATTTGTGAATACAATCAATTTTGATTAAATATTTATAAAATTATTTTCATCTAGATTCACATGGAAATCTATTGTGAATCAAATTAAATGCCATGATAACTCCGATATTTGCGATGTTGGCGGTTTCAAATTATCTCAAACTACATTCTTATTTGAATCTTACTTATTGTTAGTCCTTTTAAGATTCTATAAGGGGTTTCCTTCATAATGCTGAACGTTGCGCATTAAAAATTAATTGTTGTGTAAAGTGATTCAATAGTGACTAATTATTAATTATTCTTTTTCTACCAATAAAAGTATCATATATTTTAAGTACCTATAGTTTGTTCGTTATCAGTTTACCTAATAATAAGAATTTGCAACATATTTACTTACTTTACATAAGATTTCTATACTAGAGTGCATATAAATGAACTCTATTTTAAGTTTTCATATAATAAATGTAGTTAAGGTTGGTTATACCAATTATTGTAGATTATTTTCTATAAATAATAGTTAAGATCAGCGTAACTATTAAATTTTGCAAATTATGCTAATAAGTTTTGTATTGTTTTTGAAATAAACCCAACATTCTGGGATGACTTCTAACATTATTTTGATATGATTATTTCAAACATCATGAAAAATAAAATATTCTAAAGTGGGTCAATCTTTTCGTGCCGTGACTCCCGTTTTTTTTTCAAAAATATATTGTACCCCCCTTTAATGACTTATATTAAAATATAGTATTTTGGAAACGCCATCCTGAGGGGGCGCCCCCAAATTTTGAAGCCACGGAGTGAAATGGAGTATATATATTAGTTTTATTGCGGTTTGGTAATTCATTCTAAGAAATGATTAATCTTTATTCATAATATTTTGTTTTTCGTAGAATTTCATATACGTTTACCTGGAATTAATTTGATTGGGTATTTTTTGATAGGAATCATTTCAATGAGCAAAATTCTGATTCGGCACTTGGTAATATTTTTTTTAAATAAGCAAGTACGAGGAGTTTTTTGAAGAAACCGACAGTTAATAATGATCCTTTTGTAAACCGTATAATCTATATTTATATTTATAATAGGTGATAGGGCAGGTCCGTGAGCTGAGCAACTCCAATTCGATTCAGGGAAGAATAGTTTGAGAGACTTCCCATTGCCATTTCACACTGCAGTGCCCAAAATGAGAAACATATTTTTGGTATATATTTTTAAGTGAAACTGGACATCGCTTCTGCCCGATGTCAGGTTGCCAGAGTGAGAGTTTGAACTACGACATTGAACACCCCCATTTTTAATTATACCTTTTATATAAAATTCTTCTGTAATGATGTATGTAAATATACTCCTCCCTTCTAAACGATTTTTCGGATTTTGATAAATCCTCCTTTAGTTTGTTGAATTGAACACCCCCATTTTTAATTATATCTATTATATAAAATTCTTCTGTAATGATGTATGTAAATATACTCCTCCCACCTAAACGATTTTTCGGATAAATTCTTCTTTAGTTTAATGAAATTTGTTAGGGTGCATGGGATTATAAAAATATAGTAATATAGTAGAAATAGATAGCAAAAAATGCAAAGAACGGCATCTAATTGTCTGACATTGAAAATATTTTGAGACATTGTTTGGCATTAAAAACAAATGAAAACTGTCATCTGCCAAAAATTTCAATTTACTTATGAATCTAGACAAATATGTATATTAAATTAATATTATGAAAAATAAAAATAAAAAATCTACATTATTATTGCTAAAAAGCAGCTGAGTTGTGCCAGAAATAAAAATAATATAAGATACAGTATATGTGGCAGATTGAATGATACACATATGAACTTGATTTGACAAATTGAGTAATGAAATTAAGTAATGATCAGGGCAGACCCTTTTTTGAATGCGACGCATGCGAAAACTACGAGCGCACGCTTTAGGGGGCGCCAACACAAGATTCGGATATAAAATTTCCAATATAGTTTTTTTTTTTCAAATATAATTCAAGAATATTTTTAAAATACGTTAAAAATTTCACATCAAAACAACAAATGGGAGAGTAAAGATAAATACATACAATTCAACCCTTGTGATATCAATTAGGAGAAGTTTAAGATGCAATTTTGGATATCTTAAATAATCAAAAATTAAATTAAAATATTTCAACATGAAATACCAGCGTTATGTTATGGTTATGTTTAATAATGAAAGTCTAGAATTTTTTTGCTCTCTATGATTTGCTCAATAGAATAAATCGCATAAAATGCCCAAAATAAATAAAATGTTTCAAAAGCCAAATATTAATTAATTATAATAAATTAAT